TTTTTTGAGACAGAGTCTCGCTCTGTTGCCAGGCTGGAGTACAGTGGTGCAGTCTTGGCTCACTGTAACCTCTGCCTCCCAGGTTCATGCCATTCCAAGCTCCTGCCTCAGCCTCCCAAGTAGCTGGGACTACAGGCGCCCACCACCACGCCCAGCTAATTTTTGTATTTGTAGTAGAGACGGGGTTTCACCATGTTGGTCTCGATCTCTTGACCCTGTGATCCACCCGCCTCAGCCTCCCAAAGTGCTGGGATTACAGGTGTGAGCCACTGCACCCGGCCTGGATTTTAATTTTAATTGCATATAAGTGGCTGCATGTGGCTAGTGGCTTCTGGAGTGGACAGCCGGGACCCAAAGGTTCCTTGGAGCTTCCCAGGGCCCGAGGTGGGAGGTGGGGCTCACCTGTGGGCTCTGGCCCCGGGCTAGATGCCTCCTCACAGGCCACGCTGGCTGGAAGCTGGAAGGCATCCAAAGGAGTTTGGCCACCCTCGGCTTGGCTGGGGACAAGATGGATGTGGTTAGGAGCCAGGGGTCCCTGGCCTCTCAGGACTCCCTCCTGCTTTACCCAACTTGTGGCAGTAAGTGTGGACACCCCTATGGGGAAAAGTGGATCCCCATCCTGAGGCATTTACAGGGCTCATCACCAGATCCCTAAACTCCAGGTTGATTCCTAGCCTGGCGTGGCCCTCGCTCATAAGGCCAGACCTGGATAGCCAGTGGCCAACTGGATGTCACCATCTGTGTGCCCTCTGGCACCTCATGCCTAGCTGATGTCTGCATCTCCCTTTCAAACCTGCTGTTCTTCTCAGGAGCCCAAATCCGGGCTCAGCAAAGCCGGAGACCTGGGGAGAAGATGGTCTCCTCCCTCATAGAGTCGGGTACTTCCCAGGACTGGCCTCAGCCTCTGCCCTGGTCCTCCAGCGCCCATCTTGTCCCTCAGTGCCTCCTTCATGGCAGCTAGAAGGGTTATTTATTTATTTATTTATTTATTTTGAGACGGAGTCTCACTCTGTCGCCCAGGCTGGAGTGCAGTGGCATGAACTTGGCTCACTGCAACTTCCGCCTCCCGGGTTCAAGTAATTCTCCTGCCTCAGCCTCCCGAGTAGCTGGGATTACAGGCGCGTGCCACCACGCCTGGCTAATTTTATTTTTAGTGGAGA